ACTTCGTAGCTTTGAAGATGAAAGATCCAATCTTCTTGCAGAATTCCTTCATACAATATTAGAATATCCTAAACGAAGGGGGGGGGGGGCAGACTCCCGACGCACCCCTCGCACCCAGACCTACAATCCTACCAAACATACAATCCTAATGCCCTATAACACAAACCTTACAATCCGAAGCCCTCAAACCCTGTCGACGCCACTCCTTGGGCTTCTCCTTTCTTGCAGCCTCTGCTTTCTGCTTCATCTCTTCAGCGTACTCCTCCATCTCTCGGCAGACCTGCAGGCACAATCTGAACAATGAACCCTAAACCCTAAACAATGAACCCTAAACCATCAACCCTAAATAAGCCCCATAAACCCTAAACCCTAAAAACAAGGAACCACCCTGCCTCACAAAGGAAGCCTTGCACCCCTATTCTCTGAGCCTCTTAGGCCACCCAAAACCCGCTACAAAACTCCCTGAACTCTGAACCCCAATAAACCCTGAACCCTAAGCCTAAAGCCCCGAAAAAAGACAGCCTCCGAGCTGTAAAGTCGCAAAGACGACAGCAACCCGACGCGCTGGTCGGCCCTGCTGTCACTACGTGGGAACTCCCTTGCCTTTAGTTGCCAGAGTATATGGATAGTTCTCTTAAAAAGGTTTGGGGGTCCTTTTTTAGAGGGTGCCGCACTATATTGGGGATGTAAAAGGCGACCCCAGTTTAGAGAACTACCCATATACCGAAAGGGTCACCCTTTATTAACCCCCTAAACCCTTTAACCCCCTAAACCCCTACCCCTAAACTCTAAACCCTAAACCCTTTAACCCTTTAGCCCTAAACCACTAAACCCAAACCCTAAATTCCCCCGCACCCCCCCATTGCCTCGTCTAGGGCATCCCGGAGCGCTCTCGCCTCGCTTAGGCAAAGAAGAGACGGAGTTGTGGTCTATAGGGTTTAGGGCTTCAGGGTTTTAGCGGGTTAAAGGGTTTTGGGTTTTAGGATTTAGGGCTTTAGGTTTTAGGTTTTAGTAGGGTTTTCAAGCTTAGGGTTCTAGGGTTTTAGGGCTTTATAGGTTTTAGGGTCTACCTGAGGTCCGAAGAACCCCCCTTTAAGGACACCTACAAGGAAATCATAATAAGGAGCCCCAAAAGGGTAGGTGGCATATTTTGGGGTCCAAGTAGCCTTTGGTTGGGCTTCAGTTGGGGAATCTTTGGGTTGATGATGACTTTGGGCTCTTTCAGGTGTTTACTGGCTGGGTGTTGCCTATATAAGGTGTGCGGTTTAGGATTTGGGAATGCCCTGAGTTTCGTCTAGCTTGGGGAGTAGGGCTCGGAATTCTAGCCGCGCGAATCTATGGGAGGCATTTAACTTGCCTAGCTCGTCCACTAATTCCCCTGAGGGTCCAAGTAGTCCTTATTTATGGTTTTGGGTACCCAAAAAAGCCCCAAAGTCCTTAAAGAATGAGTACTTGGACCCTTAGGGTTCTCCTCTTACAACAAGATACGAGTCATTACGCTTTTCGTCGTAATTCAGTGTCAACTCGGCAAGGCTTCCTGAACAAGAAAGGGCACAAGGGGTAGCTACTGTTGATGATCGAAATTCTCAGCATTACCTTAAGGACCCTAAACTGTGGGAGTTATGGTATATTCCTCATTATGGATCATGCAGGTTTTATATCATCAACCGTACCAGGGAAGCTCGGTGCAGGAATCACAGTTTGAGGGCGAGCGGCTAGAGCTCCGTGCGTTAACAAAGCCCCAAACTCATATCAAACTGGTCCCTCTAAGGGTTTCGGCTTAGGATGTAGGTTCAGGGCTCCAACAAAGCCTAGCAATGAATTCCCTGTGCCTTCGTCTGCTTGGCCTGCTCCGCTGCTTGGGGAATCCTGCGAGAAACAACATATGTCAAGCGCTGTGTCTTCGGTTTCAGCAGTTCCCCAACCCCACAGAACAGCAGGTTCTGACACCTATTTATGTAAGGTAAGCCCCTCCATGCCAAAAAAGAGTCGATGATTGTTCAGCACTTGGACCCTTAGAAAACAGCTTAGCCCGCTTCTGTCGGGAGTTCCGACCCATGACCGAAGCAGCTTGAAGGAGCCTCAAGACGTAGTGACAACAATACCCAGCTTGCCTGAGCCCTGAGAAACCTGCAGCTTTAGGGTTCAGGATTACGATTTCCGCTCTAAATACCTGTGGTAGAGTGAACAGTGAACCGTTGTATGAGAGGTTCACCTGCCGCCTACTATGAACCCTGAACAATTGGGTCCGGTAATAGCAAGATCCCGCAACGGGCAAGATTCGCGATTTGGGTCCGGCAATAGAAAGATCCCGCAACGGGCAAGATTCGCGATTCCCAATGTTATTCGTCCGATTGGCAAGAGCAATTATGCACTCGGCATGAGCAACATGAATTTAAAAATCATGTAAAGGCCCGCTGGTATCAGGCGAGAATGTGTCGGCGATGTTTCCTTTTGAGGGGACTGCGTGGACGTCGTTCTGAGCAACAACTTGGAAAACGGACCCTAATTGAGAGAACTACCCATTTGCTAATCCGAGATGCGCCTAGGGCTAGCCATGCTTCAGCGAAGCAGGTAATTAACCATAGGCTCCTTAGTAGCTCCTTTTTGGGGATTACCTTATAGAATCCTAAATATAAACCACAAAAAGGAGCTACTAAGGAGCCTATGGGGAACTACTAACCAGAACCCCTGAAGGCAGCTTCAAAGGAACAGCCATTAAACCCCTACATTCAGGCCCTATAAAACGAGCTCCTTCAAGGAACCCCTTCCAGGTGGGACGCGTCGTCCTTGGGTCATCTTTGGCACGCTGAAGCATAGTCAGAACAGCCTGGGGTGGCTTAGGGTTTGCTGGGTTCTTGTTGAAGAAATTACCCATAGGCTCCTTAGTAGTTCCTTCTTGTGGGTTTGTATTTAGGATTCTATGAGGTAATCCCCGAAAAGGAACTACTAAGGAGCCTATGGGTAACTACCATAATTTAGGATTCCTTTGCGTGCTCTAGAAAGGCTCTACAAGGGCCCACATCAAGCTAATACAGGACTCAAGTTGCTTCCTTCAGATCCCTACACTATATTATGGCCGCTGATAAGGAACTGAATTTCAGCTACCATAGGAAGATGTGTTATGGGTTCTATGGGGGGGGGGGGGTCAAACAATCTAAGGGCCCGAAGGACCAACGAATCGAGTTTAGGATAGTAGTTATGTAGATTAGTATTTGGGAGTGTTGTTATTGGGCATGTGAGCCCTTAACCTGCATTTTTGGACTTACAGGTCCAGGGCTTCAGGGCTAGAGGTTTGGACTGATCTGACTAATGGTGGCTTCTATTCAAAATCGCACTATAATCCCTAAACCCTAAACCCTGTTCAAAATCGCACCATAATCCCTAAACCCTAAACCCTAAGCAAAATCGCACCATAATCCCACAACCCAGGCAGGGAGAATCCCTAGCCTTCAACCCGAAAGCCTGAAGGGTTGTGGGCCTAGGGCAAAACCCGAAGCCGCAATTCAATTCCGCCCAGCCTGCTGCATCTCCAACTCTTTCTCCTTCATCTCCTGAACGGCTTTCAAGTTATGTCTTTCAGGGTTTAGGGTTTAGGGCGAATATTCGTTGCGGAATTCTGTAGTTCTACGTGGCATTTGTTGGCTTCGAGCCGCCCAAGGCTCAATGAGTAAGGCCCTGCGACTACGACGACGACTACTGCTGCGGCGTGCGACGACCTACTCCCGGTACCTGCCACAACCTCCTGCGACGTTCTACAAAGGAGACTACGGGTCTTAGGTTAGGGTTTAGGGTTTAGGGTTTAGGGCTCGTGAGTATCCCAACGAAGATGAACCCTGGAGAGAGGTTGCTCTCTAGAGTATAAGGAGCTTTGCAAGAATTTCCACGGATTAAGGCTATGATTAAGGGGTTCGGAGGGTTGTATGAGTCTTTATGGTGTTGCATGCTTGTCGCAGATAGTCTCCACCGTATTTCTTTTTCGGGATAGCAAAATCGAAGTCCGCCCACTTCAAAATCAGAGCCCGAAGCCCTGCACCATACTCCCAACAACCCTCCAGAGCAACACTCCGACAAAACAAAAGCAGCGGCATAAACCCCAAACCCTAAACCCATGATCCTCACCGCCCCCCAAACCCCAATCCCAAACCCGATACCCCCCAAAAAAAGGCCTCAAACCCAACAAGAATGCCCCAACGCTTTGGCTTCGTAGATCCGAGCCTTCTCTCGACGTCGGCGCCGGCGTGAGAGAGTTCGCGCACGCCGGCGAGCCTGAAGGCTCGAAGAAAGGTTCGAACAATATGTTTAGGGTTGAGGGGTTTAAGGCCTAGGTTTAGGGTTTACGAGACTAGGGCTTGAGGTTTTGGGGTTCAAGGCTCAAGGATTAGAAGTCTGTCGTTGCAGCCCCAAAATACCCCAAGACCTGGTTTCAGTTCCGCCCCTTCAGAATCCTAGAACCGGGCCAGCTCGGGGGGTTCCTTGAAAGGGCTCCCTTAAGGCCTGCCTGTTCTAGGTTCCCCAATAGCCCCTTAATCATAAGGGTACCCTTTTTCCTAATATTCGGCCTTTGAAGAAGGAGACCGCCAAAGAAAAAGGGCAAAAGGGTACTACTGGGGAGCCTAGTGTTTCTATGCCTAGGAGCATTGAGCAAGGAAGCAGAAGCCAAACCCCTATACCCCCAAACCCTGAAGCCAAACCCTAAACCCCAGACCCCACACTCGAAACCCCAAACCCCAAACCCCAAACCCAAAACCCTCAACCCAAACCCTGGACCCTAAACCCTAAACCCTGGACCCTAAACCCTAAACCACGAACCCTGTTAGCCCCGAACGAGCAGCCCTCTCATTTTCCTGCTGCTCCCGAAAAGCTTTCAGGTCGGAAGTCGTCAGCTGCAGCTGAAGCCTGCCTTTGTTCCCCTTCTGAACCTCGGGAGCTCAGGGTTTAAGGGCCTACGAGGTTAAGGGCTTGGGTTTTGGGGTTTGCTGGGCTTCCTCTTGAAGGTTTCAGGGCTTTGTTCCCCGCGGAACCTCAGCATTGAGACCATGTTCTCTCAGCTTCCCCAAGATGAAGGCTTGAAGATCCGCCTTGTAAGCAAGGGGGCGGGACTGGCCCCGACCGGTGATGATGATGCCACGGCAACTGGGCTTCTGGGACAGCAATGGAGGCAGTACATCCAGCAGCCACCACCTCACGGCCATCCAAGCGGAAGAGGCCGACATGTCAAGTAAGTCAAGAAGGGCAGGACCCTGCTTGCACAAGTTGCCATATAGACCAGCCTGTCGAGCCTGCAGGAAAAGGTCATAGCCATGATCCTGCGCTTCACTGCACACGGCATCCAGCACTGCATTGTAGGTGACAGCCGTTCCGTTCATCTTGCCGTTGCGCATGGTTTCGAAGAGATGCATTGCCAGTGGCCATTGCTCACCCTGCTCGCAAGCACGAATGGCAGAATTGAAGGTCATGATATCGAGAGGCAGGTCGGCTTCGATCATGCTGTCGAACAAGTACATCGCTAGCTGCCATTGCCCGCCCTTCGTGCAAACACTGATCGCGGCATTGTAGGTGATGACATCAACAGGGAGGTTAGCTTTGTGCATGCTGTCGAGCAATCGCATCGCCAGCTGCCACTCCCCACCCTTCTCACAAGCGCTGATGGTTGCACTGTAGCCCATAATGTCGAACAAATGCATCGCCAGCTGCCACTGCCCACCCTTCTCACAAGCACTGATGGTGGCACTGTAGCTGCTTACGTTGACTTCCATCTTGGCATTGCGTATGCTGTCGAACAGATGCATCGCCATCTGCCACTGCCCACCCTGCTCGCAAGCGCTGATGGCGGCACTGTAGCTAATGACATCGGCAGCAAGTGCGGCATTGCACATGCTGTCGAACAGATGCAACACGAGCTGCCACTGCCCACCTTTCTCACAAGTGCTGATGGTCGCATTGTAGGTGATGACATCGGCAGGCAAACTTGCTGTGCGCATTTTGTCAAACAGGTGCATCGCTAGCTGCCACTGCCCACCTTTCTCACAAGCGCTGATAGTCGCATTGTAGGTGATGACATCGCCAGGAAGACTTGCATTGCACATGGTGTCGAACAGATGCATTGCCAGCTCCCACTGCCCACTATCCGCACAGGCACTGATCGTGGTGTTGTAGGTGATGACATCAGCAACAAGTTTGGCTTCGCGCATGCTGTCGAGCAGACTCACTGCCAGCCGCCACTGCCCACCCTTCTCAAGCGCGTTGATGGCCGCGCTGTAGCTGATAGCATTGGCATTCACGTTGGCTCGATGCATGCCGTCGAATAAATGCATCGCTAGCTGCCAAGTCTTCGCCCTCGCACAGGCACTAATTCCAATGGTGAATTCAGACACACCTGGACTTTTCTTGGTTGCACTTGAAACATCATAACCTTCTTGTCCCTTTCTACGACTATGTATACTATACCAAAACAACTAACAAAATGTTAAAAAGGACGGTCTAGACACCTACCTTTGTGTTATCGGCCTTGAGCCTCTCGGCTAGCAACGTCCCCACCAAGTCGAACCTCCGTCGGGCATTGAGGTAATGCCTCAATTCACAGCACCCCAAAAGTTCTAAGTTCATAGGACCCCCAAAAAAGTTCCAAGCTCATCGGCCCCCAAAAAAAATTCTAAGCTCATAGGCCCCCAAAGGTTCTAAGCTCACAGGCCCCCAAACGTGCTAAGTTCATAAGCCCCCAAAAGTTCTAAGTTCACAGGCCCCTCCAAAGGTTCTAACTTTCAGCTTTGATGAAGGCTGTACTGTTTAAGGAAGTGCAAAGTCTACAAACTCAGCTTCTAAGTTGCATCGCCCAGCGCAGAGACTTGCGATCCCAGTGATGTCGGGCCAAAACCTGCTGCATGCTTTCCTGCGAGGCTTTCGGTTGCAGCTTCAGCAGTTGCTCTATGATGTCGCTGGGCCGAGATTTCGGGCCCCGCTCCAGACGAACAGCCGTCGAAAATGACCGGGCGAGCATGGTTCTCGGATTCTGGCGCGCAAGAGCTCGGCTAACCGGTGTCAGACTGTGGGCGCTGCTTGAATTCATACGCCTGTTGCGAACGTGCGGCAACATGGCACGAACCCCAAACCTAAACCCGTACCTTGAAATCCACTCCCGAGGTGAGACCAGCACCGCTAATGCTGGCGACGAGATCAAAACATTCACAATAAGCGGGATCCACATGCTTAAGTCGGAGAATCTTTGATCTTACATGAAGGACCACAATATATACCAAACGAAAGATTTTGCCCCGGAGCCCTAACTTAAACCCTGCAGCACCTGAAACGCAAACCCACTCAACCCCCCAAACCCCAAACACCCCAACCCTAAACCTCCCAAAACCTTAGACCCTAAACCCTAAATCCTAAGCCCTAGCCCCTAAGCCCTAAACCTCCCTAAAACCCTAAACCCTAAACCCCTTCCTCACCTAAGAAAGCTGTTCTTGGAAGGCTCGGGCCTGCAAGCCGGCAGGATGGAGGCACGGAGAGCGAGGCCTCAATTTATTCGAATAGGGGTCTTAGAAATAGTTCCTTTAAGGGTTCTTATAAATGGTTCCTGTAAGGGTTCTTATACATGTTTCCTTTAAGGGTTCTTATAAAGGTTTCCTTTAAGGGTTCCGTTGAAAAGGGCCCATGAAGGGATACAAAGGTTTGAGGAGAGCTCGGCCTTGTTTCAAGGCTTTAGGATTTAGGGCTTTAGGGTTTCAGGGCTTAGGGCTTTAGGGCTTTAGGGTTTTAGGGCTTAAAGCCCCAATGAATTGGAATTGGGTTTTGGGGCATGGGCTCCTAAGGAGTATGAGCTCTAAGCATCATAAGGCCACCTATACGATGGAGGCACGCTCAACCCTACCACAGGTGCTTTTATGATCGTTGGGCTGGGTTGCTTCAAAGGGTTTTCTTCGAGGGGTCCCTAAACCCTAAACCCGATAAGGGTTCTGTAACGGGCCCTGAACAGCCCGACCACGGTTCTTCACGGGATTTATGAAACTTGGGTGCCTTAAGAACTAGAGTAGGGTGTGGAAAGGTGCCGTTACAGGCTTCGTTAAGGGTTTCTGCGTCTTTATGAAGTTTTAGTGGAGGGCTGACAAGTAGGGTTACTCTCAGGGTTCTGCATCGTCTTCATAACTCCGATAGGACTTTGGGCTATATTGTACTGTGTTGTATATATAGCTATGAGGAACTGTAAGGAATAGTGCAACGGATTCTTCAGACATCAACATTACTTTTCCGAGTTGTGGGTTTAGGCAGGCGGCTGCCTGCCATGACGAGGGCTCCCTTCGCCTTCCTCTGTCGCCCTCCCTGGGCACCACCGACCAAGTGCCGGCGATGTAGCTGACTCACCGATATGAGCCAGAGAGTGCTCTAGGGCGGTGCCCAGTGCCCTCCTCCGAGGGGAGACGCGCACCACGGCGAACACTCACGACACAAGATTGCAAGGTGGCAGCAACATGCAGGATACCCCCAGACATGCACAGGTGCAGGAGACATGGGGACGCCTCCACATCGTCCTCTGCCCTCCTCCTGCCAAGTTCGAGGTGGCCGGAACCGTTCGCGGCCTGTTGCAAGACAAGGGCTCCACCCTGTGCATCGCTCCACACCCAGAATCCCTAAACTATAGACCCTGCCCCCCCTAAACACACTAAGCCCTCGGCTATTTCGAAGTACTGCTGTCAAGTATCACCTAACCACAAACCCCGAAGGAACCCTCTAAACCAAGTCCCTAAACCCTAAACCTTATACGCATTTGTTGTTTATGCTTTCGGGTCGACGAAATTCGGGTCCCTTTTTGGATTGGATAGCCATAAGGGTATGTCGCTCTGATAGTAAAGACTCCAGACGGGACCCTAGATCACAGAAATCTACAGAACTCCCAATGTGAGAATCTCGAAGCGCGGCTACTGTAGGGGCTTCAATCATTAGAGCATGGTTTTGGGCTCCTGGACCGTTTAATTATAATCAGGAACCCAAAGGAATCATATTGCTAATTATTTAAGGTTCCATATTACCTTTGCAGCGCATGCCAGGGCCCTAAACATCGGAAGCCCCGACTCTCCCCGCCACCCAAGGTTACGAACCTGGTACTCAAACCATCCGCAACACCACCCAGATCTCCCACAATCGCTTTAGGGATAGTACCAGAGTTTACATATCCGTTGCATGATTCCGATATACTGCAGATCTGGGCAGCCAAATGCCAAGCCAACAGTCCTCTAGTGGTCCGGGCGCCGCGACTCTTTTGGGGATGTCGGTGAAGGTGATGGAGATCTGCTTTGGCAATCGGCCTTGACACACGACTCATTTCAGGATCCGAGGCTCCGCATTTCCGGTCCTTAACCTGAGGGTCCAAAGGACACAATAAGTTGGCACTCAGTTTTCGGATAGTGGTTTTGTAGGGTAGTACATGGTTTCCGCCATGTGGGCGGGCTTCCGGCTTGCAGTTGCAGAGAATTGACGGAAAGTTTAGGTATGCCATTGACAGACCAAAATATGGGTAGTGTTGTGTGCTTATAATTTAATCTGGCCATATATATATATATATACATACATACATACATACATACATACATACATACCCAGCTAATCTCGACGTGTTGATGCCTTGGGTAAAGATGTTGTAGCTCGCCAGGATCGATGCCTGTAGTCAGGTTGATTTCTTTTGGTATGATATGGAACATTAAACAATGAGAATAGTGTGTTGAGGTATGCTTTGGTATCATCATATAGGGGCAATATGGGGTTACCTCCATGGACTCGACAACCATATATCTCAATGCCTAGCGACCTTTCTATAGTGCAGCCAGCTGGTCAACAACCTGTACCCCCGGTGCTTGAACCAAGATCACGCAATTAACCCCCAGACGCCAAGTAACCCATACATGGTTTTACTGCACCATAATTGCTTGTAGTCGTATGGCATGGCTTGTATAGGCCCCGAAGGCAGCAGCCTAACATGTAGTATGTAATTACTCAAACCGATTTATCCGGAGCATGGCGCACAAGCAAGCCCGACTTCTGAAGGACTTGGCATGCATCTCTTAATGCGACTTCGAGAATCAGAAGACTCAGTTTCAGTCGACTGCAAGGAGCACATATACTTCCCTTGTAGTTCGGTTTTTGGCTTATTCTGTGAAGATACTATAGTAAGAGACAAAAAGCAAGGTCATCATCGAAAGGAAAGTACAAAGAATACTCCGGGTCGGGAAATAAATAGCCGAGCTGGCTACTGTAGGGATTTTCTTGCACTCGTAATGCTACCCGAAAGCGACTTACTGAGTCTGGGAGCTTCCAAGGTAGCCGAAGAAATACAACGGTCGTCGTGTAGAATTGGGTTCTTGGGGGTTCTTGATCCAAGCCGACCCCCCATGGCTAGTTTGCCGAGCATTGGGCAATGATCTCTCGCCAAGTGAAGGCCACGCGCCCACCCTTTAGGCGCACCTGCTGGAGAAGCACTGTTCTAAGACTTACCGCTGAGAGGCTTGAAGCATTACAATGTCGGTTTTGGTTTTAAGAGCTTGGGGTATGTGGGTTTAGGGTGATTTGGGTGCAGTGCTGGGAGTTGCTTCAGAAAGCTTCCCAAGTCCCTTTTTGGAGAAGGGGGTGTCGGCTTAAGCATTCCTAAAACTCAGAATGCAGAGTTTTGATGCTTCTTGAATATCATTATAATATGCCCAAAACCTTTATTCTCGTTCTGAAAGCCCCCTATGTCTTACAATTATTCTAGCACCCCTCCCAGATCCTAGAAGGAAAACCTTCAAGAAACCTCCACCCCTATGCTAACCATAAAGACCCCTATATGAGGGCAAGGGTGAAACATTTCGGGTCAATCGGATCTCAGAGAAAATCCCAAGAAAACGACGGATCCCTGGTACAGATTTTATCGGAAGCTCAGGTTTGGGCTTTGGGTTTGGGGTTGTGAGATTCCGATCCAATACGAGCGCTAGCCCTACCAGTACATCTTTCTAGCAGCTAGATGCGGCTCTCATATAGCCGGGTTCAGGATAATACAGGGGCCTGAAAAATTAGAATAGGGCTTTGGGGCCAGTATACTATATTATATATATATATATAAAGTAAGGAACCCCCCAAAATAGTATGGGAAATTATTTAGGCCCCGATATTACCTTCCATCCCCACAAACCTCCGAACTTGGACCCTTAGCCCTAACCCGCCCGGATCACCCCAAAGCCTACCCTCAACCCTAAAACCCTATAAAGCCTAAGCCCTAAACCCTGTTTTCTTCAGCACAGGCTTTAATTAAGTGTATAGCCTAAAGCCACCTGCACCGGGTTTACCGCCACAACGCGGCCGGAGAGCCACTGGCTATCCGAAAGCCTTGGGGCGCGCAAAAAGGGCTCCTTCGTGTTTCTATGACTGGTTGGCCCTTTAAAGCCTCTGAAAAATATTAGTAAACAGGGTCCTCTTAAGCCCAATAGGGGGAAATGTAAAATATCTCAAAGGCCTACCTAGATGAGGGTTTTGGGGCTTAAGGGTTCAGTGGCCTTGCTAATCCCCTAAGGCTCCAGGTACCTATATGCGTATATACCCTAAACCCTGGCCCCTAAACCTTAAGCCCTAAGCCCTAAACCCTAAATCCTAAATGCCCGCAGCTGCCAGCTCGGAGTCACCTCCCAGACTTTGTCAAAGACGTGGTCCAGAGCCTCCAAGAACACTCCGAAGTTGAGCCGCACTTGCCGCTGACAGAGTAAGAAACTTCTCCACACATCAGCTGCACCTTAGGGTTTAGGGTTTAGGGTACTATGACCATTTACCCGTTTGAACCAATGCTTTGGTTGAGGCTTTGCGTGATGGCTCCCAGGGCTTCAACGGAAGCTTCCGCGTCCGTCTGCACTGAATCAGGGGAGTAGGAATCGCCAGCAAAGATCAAGTCGGCCAGGATTGACACGAGCAACTTTAAAGGGCTGTGCCACGTAGAGCCTTCAAGTACCCATGTAGGAACCTCGAGCCTTTGGGGCATGCAGGGGCCTTAATGGGTCACCAAACTCTGATTTCTAAACCCTAGGCTAAGCGGACCACTCGGCACTTCAA